GGGCTGAGTCCTGGGTCTTTTGTGCAGAGCTCTAAATCTTCTGCCCCTTGTCCTCCCTTTCTGTTGCTGTTGTTTGTCGTTGTTATCATTACTATTAAATTAACCGTCCATAAAGATCTTAGCAATGTCCTTTTGGTTGCAGTCAGATCAACAAAAGTCAGAGGCTGAAAAATGTCCTCTGATTTTTTTGACCACAAAATTATTATAAGAGTTTTTGGCGTCTCGCTGTCATGGAAAGATTGACACATGATATGCAGAAAGTGAGGGGTGAAGCTATATCTAATCAATTTGACATGGAATGGTTTCCATTCCTAATGCTCATAAATCCTTCTCTTGAACCCACCCATGATTTTGGAGGGGCTATTTCAGATAGTATGTTTACTGATTTTTTCCTCTCCGATTTTAATGCCTATAGATTTTTTTTCTTTTTTAAAATTTTATTTATACTTTTCAAGTTTATACATTTCACTAATTTTATACATTTCACTAATTTTACAATCACTTTGGCATTTCAAAACTTGACTTCCTTCCCCCTCTTTCTGTGGTTCCTTAAATTTGTTTTTAATATCTTCTGCATATCCACATTCACTTAATTTGCTCATTTATTCATCTCCTTTAAATATATACTCCTATGAAACTGCAGGTTATTACAATAATTCTGTCAATGTTTTTATCTGTTTATAATTTATCTGTAAACATTCAATAAGCCAATGGAAATGGTTTATATAAAAAAATATAAAAGAATATACTGTAATAATGACACCCGAGAGATCTGTAACTGCTTTGTCATTGCTGTTCTTTATCGAACTGTAATTTGCAAAATAAAAATATTTTTTAAAATATTATTATTATTATTATTAATTTTGGTTGAGCACAGTGCAGAGCACAGCACTGGTGCAATCCCAGCCAATCAACATCTTGATTTGACCAGAGGTATCAATACAAATATATTGGCATATGCAAATGTTATGCAAATTCATGTTGTGGGCCTGTGCTCAAAGCCCTTTAAGAAATGAGAAACACCTCTTATAGTGAGACACAACTAATGAACGTGAGAGTGTCAGTGTTGGTGACAAATTTTACCGCAGCCAAGGAAGATGGTTTGTTCTATTTACCTAAACTCACAGATGGGCAATAGATTTATTTGGACCAACCAAAATATGTCATAAAACGAGAGGCATTTTGAGTTCTCCAGAGGTTTTTCTCAGGCTAGATATTACTCAAAGAAGTGGTGGGAACAGGGTGAGAAGAGGGGAGAATTAACAAAAAGGCGACTGGGTGTTGCAGGCCTGCATTTAGGCTTGCAATGACACCATACATTTAAAGCACATTCAACACACATTTAAAGAACATGGCTTCCTCCAAATAATCCTGGGAGCTGTCGTTTGCTAAGGATGCTGGGAATTTTGTGTGTGTGTGTGTGTGTGTGTGTGTGTGTGTGTGTGTGTGAACTACAGTCCCCAGAATTCTTTTGGGAAAGCTGCATGCTTTAAATGTGCTTTAAATGTAAGGTGTGGATCTGCTGTTTGCCTCAAGATGCAGATTGCATGCACACTCTTCCCCTCTTTTCTACAGCGATGAAATCCTCTGTATTCTGATCTAGTCAATTTCACTCCAAAGGGGTGAAAGAATGTCAAGAAAAAGCCTTGTTCAATGAGTGGAGGGGGAGAATAGTGAGGTTTGGAAAATGTTTTCAAGTGGGTAAAATACCCTTGAACTTTAAAAGGACTTACATACATGCACCAGGAGTGTCTCTCTCTGTGTGTGCGTGTGTGTGTCTCTCTCTCTCCCCCGCTCTCTCTCTCTAACTCACACACTTTTTTTAATAGAAAAAAAATCAAAATTGCTCTTGTGCAGTTATGAAGCTGCGTGAAACAGTCACTATGAGGGTGACATGAGAATGGGCCTTTTCTGTGGTGGCTCCCCATTTGTGGAATGCTCTCCCCAGGGAGTTTCGCCTGGCACCTTCATTATACATCTTTGGTGCCAGGCAAAAATGTTCAACCAGACTTGGGCCCGATTAATATTCTGCAGCCTTTTAAATGTTTTTTTTAGTTATTTGAGTTTTTGGGTTATTGTTTTGCTTTGCTTAATTATTTTGTGCCTTTATCCTCTATTTTCATGCTGTGAATCACCCTGGGATCTTTGGACGAAAGGTGGAGACATAGATAGATGCAGCAGAATTAGGTGATCCAGGTGGTTGCTTCTGATTGCAAGTGGTGAATGTGTGGATATGCCCTTTGCACGTTCAGCAGATGCTCCCTGACAGGCGAGCTTTCTGAGTGCAGGGAGTTCACCTCCTTCTCCCATAAGGGATGATTTGGACATGGAGTTCATGGGAAATTATCGACACTTAATTTTGCTGCCTGATTAGGCTGGTCCTTCAGTGCTCATGGGGTGTCCCTCCAAAGGATTTCTCCCTCCAAAGGGGCAATTGGGTGTTGGGAGCTTTTCAGGGGCTGGGAGAGGCTCTGTAGAGCAGAGGCAGGCAATGGCATGACCTTGACTGAGCTCTGGCCTTGTTGCCTCATAATTAACCCAGCATGAATCATGAATTGTTAATGCTATCGATTGGCTCTTTGAATCCCTCCGCCTGTGAATTCAATTTGAAGATGCTTTATGGGCAGGAAAAGGAGCAGCACAATGCAAATTGAAAGGCTCATTTGCGCCCAGAGGTTGTTGTCAAGGCCAGCAGCAGCAGCAGCTGAAAGGAAGGCTTTGCTGCAACCCGGAATGTGACTGGTTCGAAACTCAACTCTGCATGAATTTGCAGGCTGTTGTAATGATTAAAGTGGGTGTAAAGCACTTCAAATGCTGTAGGCTTCCCCAACCTGGTGCCCACCAGATATTCTGGATTATGACTTCCATCAACCTGGAGTTGTAGCACAAAACATTGGAGAAGGGTGTTGCATAGATAAAAACAGATATTTTGGAGGGGTTTCTTTTTTTTTTTTTGCAGGGTCAGTCTAGATGATACACTAGGTCCCTTCCAGGCTGTCTTACAGAAGAGGCTGCAGAAGCATCCAGAAAGTTCCTTTGTTAACATAATGACCTTGGCTGGTCAGTTAAGTACTGCTATTTACCATATCCAAAGAGGTTGCTCTGTTGCCATAGGAACAAATGGGTGGCATTTTGCTACTTCACTTGCCTGGATGCCAAGTTATTGTAAGATGGAGAATAGGCCAAGGGGGGCTGCATATGGGATAGTTTTATATTTAAGTTTGCCTGATGCTGGAAGCTGGGGACACAGAGGTGTGTCTTGCTCTGCACTGGACCCCAAGCTGTGGCTTTCCTGGAAACCTAACCTAAGCAAGTTCTGTTATGGCGCTAATACTGTGAGCCCCTCCACTCTATGTTCAGGTTGTAAATATATGTGTAAACCAAGCCATATATCTTAAGGATGTCGCAGTCTCCACTGACTGTCATTCCAAGGAAACTGAATCCTGGGTAAGCATAGGCATCCCTGGAGTCTGCCGCTGCTTGGAGACTGGAGTGCAGGCAGCAGTGAGTTTCAGAGACTTTCTACAAATTCAGAGAAGCTAAACTCAAGCTTAGAGACTTGAAGCTTGTAATTAAATTTGCAATTTTTTGGCAAAATGGGCCATGGGCAGGCATTTGCAATTACAAATGCAAGCCAGACTCGGGAGATTATTGTTTCAGTGTGACTTTTTAATATTTAGTTACTGCTAACAAGGTGGCGGAAGTGGAAAGAGAAAGCTGTAAGAAGTTTCTCTTTTCTCTATAGAGCTGGAATAGTTTGCACCAATCCAGATGCTTCCATTTTTTGCCCTTTGGGAACAGGGATGCCACTCCCCTCCTCCAGTGGGGAGGTCAAACCGCTGCATTACTAGCACTCAAGTAACATGCCTGGAAGGTCCTGAGCTGCCCAGACAAGACCCCCCTCTCAGCCTCACTGATGTGGTCCCAAGGAAAGCAGAGCAAGACATTTGGCACCAGCTTGGCTGCAGGAGTTGCCAGGAGGCAGCTTTTGGGATTGCACATGGGAGTTGTGCAGGGTTTTTGTTGTTTAGTCATTTAGTCGTGTCCGACTCTTCGTGACCCCATGGACCAGAGCACGCCAGGCACTCCTGTCTTCCACTGCCTCCCGCAGTTTGGTCAAACTCATGCTGGTAGCTTTGAGAACACTATCTAACCATCTCATCCTCTGTCGTCCCCTTCTCCTTGTGCCCTCCATCTTTCCCAACATCAGGGTCTTTTCCAGGGAGTCTTCTCTTCTCATGAGGTGGCCAAAGTATTGGAGCCTCAGCTTCACGATCTGTCCTTCCAGTGAGCACTCAGGGCTGATTTCCTTCAGAATGGATCGGTTTGATCTTCTTGCAGTCCATGGGACTCTCAAGAGTCTCCTCCAGCACCATAATTCAAAAGCATCAATTCTTCGGCGATCAGCTTTCTTTATGGTCCATCTTTCACTTCCATACATCACTACTGGGAAAACCATAGCTTTTATTATACGGACCTTTGTTGGCAAGGTAATGTCTCTACTTTTTAAGATGCTGCCTAGGTTTGTCATTGCTTTTCTCCCAAGAAGCAGGCGTCTTTTAATTTCGTGGCTGCTGTCACCATCTGCAGTGATCATGGAGCCCAAGAAAGTAAAATCTCTCACTGCCTCCATTTCTTCCCCTTCTATTTGCCAGGAGGTGATACGCCTTAGCTTTTTCTTCTCCCAAAGATATCCCGCAAGGCTGTGGAGATTTAGGGTCAGAGTTTTCCTTCTCCTAGGTAGGCTATCTTCCCAGGTTGATGTGTCCCACCTGCCCCTGACAAGCCTCCATAGCGCATGCATTGACTGTGCAAAAATATTTATATTTTTAAAAACCCATTTTCCCCCTATATGGTTCCTCCTTTCTTTGTGTACCTCAAATTTCCTTACACGAAACACCCACTTTACTACAACGGAATGTCCTCAAACATTCACCTTTGAATGCAGAGCACGATACTGGTTTTTCTTTCTTATGACCTGCATGCCACCTCACTCTTCCCTGCCACACACACACACACACACACACACACACACACGTGTGTGTGTGTGTGTGTGTGTGTGTGTAGGTAGCTAATTACAGCTGTGAAGAGCCAGCTGAGCTGTGTCTCAGCAGCCCCCGCTGAGTGCTCACTTAATTCTCCGAAAATTCACTTCTCAGTTTGAAAAGACAATAATAGCTTAAGAATAATTGACGTGTTAATAAGAAGATGCTTTGAAGTCGGCATTTCCTCATTTTGGTGAAGCAGAGGCTGCGTGGGGGGAAGTAGTTCTAAGCAGAGGCAGGAGAACAACCTGGGCAGAGGAGTTTAGTGCGTCTGTGGGAGAGTCTCCCTAGAAAGGTTGCCAACTTCCATGTGCAGGGAGGGCTTCTGTGCCTTTCAGCAGCTGCTGGCTGCGCTGAAATTTAGCAGGAGACTTCCCCATTGCTTTGCCTTCCGATGTTTGAAGAAGCTCCCCCTCTTCAATTTCCATAACAGGAGGTGATAGTGAATACTACAGGAGCAATGTCAGATTAAAAAGTTGGCAAATCCATTGCCTACTCGTCCCTGCACTGGGTTCTTCTAAGCCCTCCTCTTCCAGCCCCCAAGCCAATGGGACAGGGAAGTTGTGGCCTGGGGGAGAAACTGGACGTCAGACCCAGCTTGGATGATCACCTGAAAGGCAGGAAGGGCAGAGGCGCACCTGGAGCGGCACACATGCTGTGCACCCAGGGGTGGGGCCATGGGGAGCGTCCCAGGGGGTATGCCACCCATGGTGGGCTGCTTCCTGGGCGGCGGCGGCAGGGGGGAGGGAGCCGTGCTGCCTTGCCTGCAGCCTTCCTCCCTCTTCCTTTGGCAGCTCGGGGTAGGCTCCCCCCCCCCCCAGGAAGCAGCCCAGGAGCAAGGGGGCAATGGCGCCCCCCTGCCCGTGACTCCCAAGCCTCCCCATAGCTGTCAAAACGAAACGTAGAGGGGGAAGGCCGCCGGCAAGGCGGCGCAGCTCCGCCCCTTCCCCCGACGGCTTGGGAATCACGGGCGGGCAGCACGCTGAATGTCACCCCCTCAGTGATGACACCCAGGGTTGACCATCCCCACGGCCCCCCCCCTTCCTCTGCCCCTGAAGAAGGGGGTGCTTTTTTTTGCTTCAAGTCAGGGTGGTAGTAGAAGCAGACTAGTGGAACACAGGATCCTATGATGCAAATGTGCCTATGTTGCCTTATGCAAGCGCTTATGCAAGGGCTGACTTTCAGAGGATTTGGTAGCTCAGTTGGTTAGAGCGTGGTGCCGATAAGGTCAAGGCCGCAGGTTCAATCCCCATTAGGGACAGTTGCCTATTCCTGCATTGCAGGGGGTTGGACTAGATGATCCTCAGGGTCCGTTCTATTACTCTTGCTGCCAGGGCTTCTTGTGAGCTCTGGGGCGCCAACAGGATTTCCTGGGATCAGGATATAGCGTGTGCATTGGGCCCTCTTCCTCCCCCCCACCCCACAAATCTGGGGAAACCTATTGTTGAGAACTGTAGCTTGTGCAGCTATTTAAAAATCGGAGACTCATCTTGTCCAACCCTGAACGTGACTCCTGTCTCATTCTTTCTCACCCACACCCAGCTCCAGCTTGTGCTTCTGGGCAAATTAAGGTGGTGGGTGGGCAGAGACACACAGGCACTCTGTCTTGCAGTGTACCAAGCAAAGATATTCTTTAAAAGGGGAGAGGGACGCGGCATGAGATATGGTGGACTGCATCACCCCCCCCAGCTAATCCGTGCTTTTCTGGTCTCCCGAGGACCCCTCCCTCCCATTTTGGTGATTAAAATAGGCAAAGCCCTTGGTCTCTCACCCAGCCCAGTACACCAAGAGGGTACAGATTGCCCCCCTCCTCACCCATCATTAGACTGATCATTTGAGGAGGGGGTGATCAGCTGGAGGGAGGGGAGTTGTGTGCCCAACATTCATAGGAAGAATGTGGAGGGGAGGTCGCACAGACCAGCTGCTCCTGTGCGGCCCTAAAAAGTTTTGAAAAGTGTGAACGTGGCCCCTGGAGCTGCCCAAAGCCATTAGCCACCCCTGGACCACACCCTGTGACCTGGCAAAAGGTTGCGTGCAAAGTGTTGAGAAGCATTTGGGCATTTAAGCAGCAACCAGAGTTCAGAGTCAGGCAACAGGCATCTGGTATGGCCTTCTGCTCTCATAGGGGCCAACAAGCGGAACCTGATCCCAAGATCCCTCCCCCTTCCTGTGGCTTCCAGCAACTGGTATTCAGAAGCATTATTGCCTCTGACTGCGGAGGCAGAGCAGGGCCATTATGCCTAGTAGCCGTCACTGTCTCCTGTGGAGGGGAGTTCCACAGTTTAGCTCTGCACGGCGTGAAGAGGTCCTCTATCTGTCCTGCATCTTCTTCCAGTGTTGTTCAGTTTCTTCTGTCTGAGGGAGAGAGACGCCATCACACCCACACAGACCCTCCCTTGATCCACACGCCACACACAGGATTGTCTTGATGAGCTTTTATATAGAGATATTTATATAGATATTTATATATAGATTTCGTTTCTTTCAAGTGAAATTTCTGTGGATCCCACGTTTCACCTGCTGGTCTCATCAAATAATCCCATGATTCTTCAGATGCCGACATGCCGGCCGGCTCAGTTCAGTTCCTCAGTGTGGAGTCAAAATGATTTGCGCTCCATTATTCCGTTTTGTTCCCTCACCCACGGGCAGGAGGAGGAGGAAGAAGAGGGGACATCACCCTTGTTCCTCTCCCAGCCCTCGGTGAACAACCCTGTAAACAACACACCGTCTGAGGCCAACACGGCCATTTTGGACTACAACTCCAATCAGCACGTGCTGGCTGAGGCTGATGGGATTTGTAGTCCAAAACAGCCAGAGGGCTACCATGTTGGTGGCAGCTGGCCTAGGTCATTCTGGTGATTGGGATTGCTTTGTACATCACATGTAGGGGGAGGGAGTTGAACCTCTCCATCCTCCCAAAAAAGGTTTCTCCCACCCCCATTGCTCTGCAATTTGGCTTGAGAAGAAGTCTCTGTTTTGGCAATTGTAATAAGTGATTAAGGAAGGGAGTGATGGAAGAGGAAGGGAGGGTCCTAACCCTGCTCCCCTCCTCCCCAACCATAAGGCAATGCTGGACCTGAAATGTTCATTCTAAGAGGTGCGGTGGGTGGGGTGGGGTGGAGCTCTGAGGAAGGAAATCTGTCCTACAGAAGATTCCCCCCCCCCCCGAGGTTGGGGAGAAGCATGTAGTGAAGTCAGCAGTGGGCAGCAGCAGCAGAGGGAGGTGGTAAGGAAACGATCCTTAGCACAACTCCCTGCCACCCCCCGCTAAATTGGTCCATGGGGTCTGGGCAGAGGGCACATGTGCATCTACGGGGATGGGGTCTCCTTCCCCACTCAGGTCTGTTTTCTCCAAGGCTCCACTTTTGGTGGAGGGGGCTGAAATTGCCATCAATTTCTTAAAAGGAGGCAGCAGCTGAAATCCCCCCTCCTCAAAAAAAGGGGGGCTTTTCCTTGTCTGCCTCCTAACCTGGAACCAGCGGGCGCTTGCTGTGTCTCCCTGACCCACGTGATCCCTCCCTCTCTCCCTGCTGCCATGCTTTTATCTCTGTGCGCTTCCCCCCCATCTGAAGCATTCAGAATACAGGCCTGGCAAGGGATGGTGGGGAGAAGGTGAAGAGTTTCTACAGAAGGAGGGGCTTCGTTGCAAGGGCCTGGGTTACAACGGAGGGAGGGGAAACAGCAGTTTTCAGTGGGTGGTCGTGTGCGTGCGAGTGGGACAAGTTGTTCTGCTTTTGGAGCAGGGGAGGGCTGGCTACTCGATCTCCAAGATCAGGTCGTCCCCTTCCAAGCTCATCTCCGGCTTGACGTAGATCTTCTTGATGGTCCCCGTCAAGGGCGAATTGACCACCGTCTCCATCTTCATGGCGCTCAGGACGCAGAGGGGCTTCCCCTTCTCGATGGGGTCCCCTTCCCGCACTTTGATGTCAATCACCTTCCCGGGCATGGGGGCCCCAATCTGGCCTTTGACGTCCTTCAGGGCTTTGGGGTGGAAATGCATTTCCTGGAGTAGAAGTGAGAGAGGAATGATATGTCAGGATTGCTTTTCTCAGTCTGAACTACAACGCCCATCAGCCCCAGATGCTGGGGCACCAAGCAGAGGCTGGCTGATGGGAGCTGTAGTCCCAGGGTATAAATTGGAGTTGGAAGGGAGCCTGAGGGTCATCTAGTCCAACCCCCTGCAATGCAGGCATCTCAACTAGATCATGCTTTTGTGTGTTCACTTCTCAAACCTTTATTGGCATATAGACAAGATTCTAGTAAGGTTCAGTACAATGAAATCACTCAGCAAAATCTGCAACTAACAATTAAGATAGTGTTGAATAATATTCACGAATCCTCAGTGCATACATGACTGATGGTCAACCAACCTCTGCTTAAAAACTTCCAAGGAAGGGAGAGTCCACCACTTCTTGTGGGAGTCTGTTCCACTGCTGAGCAGCTCAGCTCTTACTAAGGCCAAAGATTTAGACTAAAGGTATAGCCTAGACTTCTCTCTTGATTTCTTTGTGTGTAGAATTTGGTATTTCAACTGTTGTTTTTTAACACAGGAGCCCATTGGACTATGCCACCCCCCTTATTTGAAACAGTACACTCCCTAGACAGCTGACATTCTATCAGTCCTCTGGACATGTAGACTGGCTCATAGATTGTTTAAAAATGTAACTGGAGATAGAGATTCACGGAGGAGGAGGAGTGGGAGTCTATTGTCGGCTTTCAGCGGTTAGCCAAGAGAGCCTCCATGTGTATCTCTCCTGTCATGCTGGAAGCTGTTTCCTTCATGCCCCCTCTTAGGGATCTCCTGGATGGGTCTGGCTGAGCCCTCTGTTGGGAACAGGATGCAGGGTAAGGTGCTGGATCAGATGAGAAGGGACCAGGCCCCAAAGGGATGCAATACCAGCATTGTATTGTCATTTGTTAAATCACCGCTGGTGAGTAAGAATTGTATTTTCAACCCCCTACCTACCCACCTCTGAGGCTGATTGTTACTGGCATTTCAGTGCTGATGAATCTTTTTATTTTTAATATTTGCATTGCTGGTTGCAAGATTATTTTTTTTCCAGGAGGGCACGGATGAATTTTAATGATTAGAGAAGTATCCAAATCGAGCAAAACAAACGCACCCGAAAGGGCACTCGATTCATCTTCCCGAACTGCAAGTCTAATCTTGCAAGCTGTGATCTGGATCTTGGCGCCAGCTTGTCCACCCACTTATCTATCCCTGGTCCTTATTTGCTCATGGCTAGCCTGCCTATTTATTACCTGTTGGAAGTCTGGGTGCCACTCAGAAAAGGGGTTAGCATGGCGTTTAAACAGATAGAGACCTCCAGATTCCCAGATTATCCCCGTACCTTTGAACTCTGTGCTGATCTCATTCTACCCTGTGAAGTTAGATTGATACTTTTTAGGCTGCATCCTATTCACAACTTCCTCCCCCCATTCTCATTTGACCTTGAGATGAGAGCCATTTTGGATGTATCTTCTGAGAACGAAGGGGCAAGCATGGCTTCTTTGGTTCTCCAACTAGATAGTTAGCTAGGACTACAGAACTCTTTCCTATCAAGAAGCAGAGTGTACCACCTCTTGTGGGAGTCTGTTCCACTGTCAAACCCTTTCCTAATTATTTGATGCCTTCATACCCCACCTTTTCCCCAAGGAGCTCAAGGTAGTGTGCCTGGTTCTCCCGCATTTTTTAATCCCAACAACCCTGTGAGGTGGATTGTGATGAGAGGCATCAGTGACTGGCCTTCAAGGTCATCCAGTGAGTCTCATGGCCGAGTGGGGGCATTTGAACCCCGGTCACTCCCATGTTCTAGTCTGAAACTCTAACTACTAGACTACCACTGGCTCTCGATAACCATAAGCTTTCTTGTTTTATTTTATAGCTTTCAACTAAATGTGTGCTCCAGTCAAGGGTCCAAGGGCCTTCTCAGTAGTGGCACCCGCCCGTGGCACGCCCTCCCGTCAGTTGTCAAGGAAATAAACAACTACCTGACTTTTAGAAGACATCTGAAGGCAGCCCCGTGTAAGGAAGTTTATAACATTTGATGTTTGACTATGGTTTTATAATTTGTTGGAAGCCACCCAGAATGGCTGGGGCAACCCAGTCAGATGAACAGGGTAATAATAATAATAATAATAATAATAATAATAATAATAATAATATACATTTAACTAAAGTTAGCTTCTGCTGCAGCACGCAAAATCTGCAGGGTAATCTTACCTTCATGGCTTTTGTGTCCTTGACCAGGATGGAACGCAGTTGTCCATTCATTTCAAAGAAGACCTCCCTCTGGCCGGCCCGGTTTAAGTCTCCCAGCGCTAAGGCTTTGATGTGGAGGGTCTTGCCACGTTCCAGCTCCACCTACGTGTCGGGAAGATAGTGAGCTCTGAGTTCCCTTGCCCTGGAGGGCCTGCTAGGCTAAAGCTCAGGGGAAGAGCATCTCCTTTGCATGCAGAAAGGTCCCAAGTTCAATCCCTGGCATCTCCAGGTAAGGCTGGGGGACATCTTCATGAACCCACCGAGAGCTGCTGCCAGTCAGTGCAGATAGCACTGAGCCAGATAGATGCAGTAGGCAGATGTTTCCTGCGCATTTCTGTGAAGAGGATACTGAGCTAAATGAACCTACGGTCTGACTGATGAGACAGATTCATAGAATCATGTAGCCCAAGTCCCTGCAATGCAGGAATATGAAGCTGTCCTATACGGGGATCAAACAGGCAACCTTGGCTTTATCAGCACCGCACTCTAACCACCTGAACTATCCAGGTGATTCCTATTTAAGACCAGCCCTTTATGCAGAAACATGCAGACTAGAACCTTGTTTTGTTTTTGAGGACACGACTTTAGCTCAGTGACCAAACATCTGCTCTGCAATGACATTTCCAGGCTGGGTTAGGAAAGACATCCAGTCTGACTACGTGGTACTGCTGCCCCAAAGGTACCTTAGTGTGGGGAGGGCCAAATAACTGTCCCTCGTTGAGACATTGCCAGCTTCTGATAATGGTCCTCCCCACCCCCAGATCACTGGGGAAGAGCACCTACACCCTGGTTGGAGGCGCCCCACTCCCTCTGCCTCTTGGCAAAGGGGCTTGTGTGAATCTCTGCCCCACCACCCTTCGGGTCACCTCAAACTCTTCCGCGATCTTCGGCCCCTCCAGGAAGAGGCGGGTGTTGAGGCATTCGACGGGGCCAAAGTTGGCTGTGAAATCCTTGAACTCGTTGAAGACCTTGGGGTACATAGCAGCTGAGAGAACGTCCTCTGGGGTGATCTCTTCTTCGTGCTGTTCGCACAGCTCCTTCTCCAACTTCACAAAGTCCATGGGGGGAAGGGAGGCCCCTGGGCGGCCCTCGACGCGGGGCAGGTCTTTTAATACCTGGAGGAGTGCAAAGGAGACAACAGCTCGTGTCCCTGATGGGGTGACTCAGGCAGACTGGTCTTGACCAGGGGCTGGGAAACAACTGAGGACCAGAGATCACCTTGCCCCAGAGATCCCTACCTGGAAACTCAGACAGGGCACTGCTGAGAGAACTGCATGTTCCAGAGGTGTGCTTTGCTTATGTAAGAAATGGGCCTTTTAGTGTTGTGCCTCCAGCCCTCTGGAAGCTGTTACCAGCCGAAATGAAGAAAGATATTGTAATGTCTTCTTGTTTAAGAAGGATTTTCCTGAGGTGTGACCCAGTTAATCCCACTCAAGAGTAGACCTTCTGAATTCGGTGGACTTGATGTAACTTAACTCTGCTGATTTCAAAGTATCTCCTCAGAGTATGATTGACCTGGCTATCTCCCTAAATACATAAAAATGCACCACCACCACAGTGTAGGATTTGCAATGCTGCGTCATAAACCTGGATTTGCATGAAATCAAGATGGGGAAAAGGGAGAGGGAGAATTGGTGGTCTAAAGCAACAACAGAAGTTGGAATAAAGCAGTGTTGCAGGGAACCGAGAAGAAAATGTCGGTTGAAGAAGCTGTGAGAATGGTAAGGGTATGAGGGGCTGGGGGTTTGTGTGAGGGGTAAAGTGAGTGGTGGGAGTTATGAATTGATTTATTTTGGTCACTGACCAGAAGGGTGGTGGGAGTTAGTAAGAAGAGGCTGCATTGGCGAACAATGTGAGTAGGGGTGGCAGCCCTATGTCTGATATGATTATAATCCATGGAACCCCAATGTCAGGGAATGGTCTGAAGATGAGGACTGGGGAATGCATTCTGTGGCAGACCAGCTTCTCTCCGATGGAGAGCTGGAGGGGGAAGAGTCGCCTCCCTTGTTCACAGTGTGTTCAGAAGCAGAGAGAGAGGAATGGGCTGAACAGCTGAGGAGGGAGTTACCCAGTTACGAGATAATGACAACAGAACCAGAAGGGAGGGGGCAGCTAGTGGAGACGTCTCTTGAGCGTGTGGGGGACCTCCCCATGGACTCGGAGATCTGAATGTATCAGAGAAGAAAGGAGTCAGAGGGAGGGAGGAGCTTCCTGTTGGTGCCCAAAATGCTGCAGTAGCCGGAAGAATGATCAGACTAGGCAACTGCTTCCTTACTGAGAGCTATGTATTTGTGCTCGGAACATGACGCTGTAATAAAAGGACTATGAATCTATCAACTGCTCGTTAATTCTTATCTGGGAAGTTGCAGAAGGGAGGGGAGAACTCTCCACGCCTGACACCAAAGGTGCTTACCTTGGAGCGGAAGGGCTCTGGGAACCCCCCATAGGGGATACCAATGTAGCCCTGCAGGAACTCCACCACCGAGAGCGGGAAGGAGAGCTCGTCTGCCTGAGCCTCCACTTCCTCCCGCGTCAGGTTGTTCTGGACCATGAACTGCGCCAGGTCGCCCACAATCTTGGAGGAGGGCGTCACCTGCAGGGAGCAGGAAGGGGTGGGGGGAAGAAGAGGGAAAAGGTGAGAAGACGGCTCCCTCTTGGGAGAGGGCTGATGAGCCACTGGTTCTCCCTATGGTCAATAGGCATAGAAATTTTACAAAGCAAATAAATAAATAAATCCATCCATCTACCGTGGATGTTGCCAAATTCTAGTGTCACGGGAAAAGGAAAAAGCCTTTCTCTCCATCCACTTTCTCCACGCCATGAAGAATTTTGCAAACTTTTTTCTCCACTCGCCTTTCCTCCAAATTAAAAAGTCCCAAATGCTGCAGTCTGCAACTGGAGGAGTTGCTCCAACCCCAAAGCACAAAGCCCCCATGGCATCTTTATCATAGAACTGTAGAGTTGGAAGGGACCACGAGGGTCATCTAGTCCAACCCCCTGCAATGCAGGAATCTTTGGCCCAAGGTGGGGCTCGAACTCACGACCCTGAGATTCTTTGGTGCCCTGGCTGCCCCAAAGGCCCGCCCTTCCTCCTCTCCTTGCTGTGGATGGGAGGGAAGCCGCTGGGCGTTGGGCCCTGGATGAAGCGTCACTTACCTTGATGAGGTCCCCAAGGAGCTTGTTGGCCTCGACGTAGGCCTTTTTCACCTGCTTGAACTTGTTCCCCAGCCCCATGCTGTGGGCCTGGAAGTGGAGGTTGGTGTACTGGCCTCCGGGGATCTCGTTCTCGTACACATCCGCGTTGCCGGACTTCATGGTGGCCGTGCAGTCAAAGGAGGCGTAGAGGCCCCGCGCCACCTCCCAGTATTCACTGTAGTCAAACACTTTCTCTATCTGGATGCCTGAGTGGGGGAAAGAGAGCTCTATGTAGTGGGGTAGGAATGGGAAGCCTCGTTGCTTTAGCCCAGGTGGGGAACAGTAGCTATTGGGGTTAGCAGATGCAGAAAGCCTTCTCCTCCATGCATTTGTCCAATCCTCTTTTACAAGCCATGGAGGCCAGCCCTTCCATTAGACAGGATGAGGTGAATACCTCAGGGGGCAGATGCTAGGGTTTGGGAATCAATGCCGAGGTGCTGGGGGGAAGAATTGTGCCTGCACTGCACCCCCTAAGCTGCTCTCAGGGGCAGTGGAGGGTGTGGCCCCATCACCAGTCTTGAAGAAAGATACAACTGCCAACTGGTTGGCTCTTATGTGTAAGGGAGAGAGGGCGCCATTTTGTTCTTTGCCTCAGGCAATCAAATGTTTTGGGCTAGCTCTTTTTGAAGCCTTTGCCACATCTCGCAGTAGCAATTTGTTAAATATGTCTTATTACCAACCCTTCAACAAAAGGTCCCACAGCTGGTTACAAAACAATCAGGAGTTTTAGGAAGATGTGTCAAAATTCTTAATAATTTAAATAACATCAAAACCATCTCACTAACACCAGAAGCAGCATAAAGTTTCTCAACAGGAAGGTAAACCATCAGAATTTTCAAAAGCTATGGTAAAAATACATGCCTTTAGCTAGCTTCCAAAGCATGGGTCACATTCACACCACACATTTAAAAGGCTATGCAAATTAAATAAAGCAGATTACATACATATCTTTTGGGATTGTTCTCAAATAGAAATATTCTGGAAAACCATTCAGGCTAATATCTCTGATAGGTTAGGATATTATATTCCCTTTGGAAGCAATAATATTTCTGCTTGGTCATCTAAAATAGGTTATTATAGAAAATGATCAAGAAACAGTGTTCAACCTTATAACTGCTGCTAAAGTTATAATAGCTAAAAATAGGGGGAAGCATATTTTCTAATACATCTGAATGGACTGAGAAAATTTGGCTTATAGCAACTATGATTAAGCTAATTTATTGTAAAAGAATACATCTAAACTAACCTAACAGGTTTGTGGGAAAAAAAATATTTTTCAGGAATGTTTCAGAACAAGTTCAGTGATAACACCCAACCTTATGCTGCTTTCAACCTGCTGTAACAATATTTTACTATGCTCTTTTTCTTTGCTTTTGTTTTTAGTGAAATAAAATGCATTTAAAAGCCAAACAGAATGCTATGATAGAATCCCGTGAGCTGTAGTTTGTTAAGGGTGCTGAGAGTGGTTACGAGGCCCCTATTCCCCTCAAAGAGCTACAACTCCCAGAGTTCCCTCTAGACCGTTAATCCACTCTATAAACTGTAGCTCTGTGAGGTTTATAAGGGGCTTCCTAACAACCCTCAACACCCTTTAACAGCTCCCAGAATGCTTTGGGGGAAGAAGCCATGGTGGCTTGCACCATCATGTATGGTGCCTCTGTGGCCAGGGACAGCACTGGCGCCGGGGACAAACCTCAAGGCCTCCTGCTTCCCTTCTTTCAAGAGAAAGTCCCACCTCTCTAATCTCTGGAAGCCCCTCCCTCCTCCCAGTGCCCGATTTCTGCACCTGTGTCGTGCTCAGTCCCGCGGGTGCAGGCCACCATGGCGCCCATGCTCGGCTGGGAGGTCATCCCAGACATGGCGTCCACGGCAACGTCCACGATGTCGGCCCCTGCGGCGGCGCAAGCCAGCATGGAGGCCACCCCAGCGCCCGAAGTGTCGTGTGTGTGGATGTGCAGTGGGATGTTGGGGAAGTGTTCGCGCAGCGCCGACACCAGCATGGAGGAGGCCTGTGGCTTCAGGACGCCGGCCATGTCCTGAAAAAGAGAGGGAGGCATTCAGGGAGGCCGAGGTGGGAATTGCAGAGGGATTGGTGTGAGGGCAAGGTGGGGGAGGGTAAGGCCAGGGCGGGGCTTCATTAAGGGAGGAGTCAGTGAGAGGGGAGGAGCCGAAGCACAATAATGGAGGAGCCACAAGGAAAAAGGCGGATGCAGTGGGAACCAAAACAGGGAAGGGAATGAGCCCCTCCGCTGTGTGGGGTTCAGACCTTGATGGCCAAGATGTGGGTGCCAGCTTTGACCAGCTCCTCGGCCAGGTTGACGTAGTAGTCCAGGTTGTACTTGGTCCGGCTAGGGTCAGCTACATCCCCCGTGTAGGAGATGGCGGCCTCCACCACGCCTCCTGCCTGCCCAGCCGCCTCCATCCCCAGCAGCATGTTGGGCAGGTAATTGAGGGAGTCAAAGACCCGGAAAATGTCCATCCCGTTCTCCTTGGCCACTTGGCAGAACCTGAGGAAGGGAACATGCAGGATCATTGAGGGAAGAGGGCTTGGGGCACAAGGGGGGCACGAAGGGGGCATGAGGGAATTCCAACCCTCACCCTACAGACCCCCACATCCTATTTTATAGAATGCAATGTTTTGCATTTGCCTTATAGATTCGCAGAATTGCAGAGAGACAAAGAGGATCATCTAGTCCAACTCCCTACAATTCAGGATTCTTTTGCCCAAGGTGGGGCTCGAACTCATGACCCTGGGATTAAGAGCTTCATGCCCTACCAACTGAGCTATCCAGGCAGAATCAGTATTTAAGCTACTTAGGTTAACACGCATTGTAAACTGAGTAGAGATTTGCTGAAATGTAAGTGGCATACAAATACAAATTGGGCCGTAGCTCAAGTGGTAGAGCGTTTGGCTCACATGCAGAAGGTCCTGGGTTCAACCCCAGATGTCACCTGCGAGAAGGGCTGGGAGAGACTCCGTACCTGTGATCCCCAAGAGATGCTGCCAGCTGGTGTAAGCAATACTGAACTAAATGAACCAATGGTCTGAGTCAGTCCTATTTCCCCCCCAAACTGCTCACGTAATTTTAGAAAATGTGCTTATCCTGCATAATTGGGAAGCCAGACTGCAGATCATCACCCAAGGAACTTACTTGAAGACAGAGTTGTCTGGATAGTTGGTGTAGCCCACAGCGTTGGCCCCTCTCAGCAGCATCTGGAAGGGGATGTTGGGGATGAGCTCGCGCAACTCTTGGAGGCGGTGCCAGGGGCATTCGTAGAGGAAGCGCATGGCCACATCAAAGGTGGCACCTGAGGATGGTAGATGAGAGGAGGAGGTAGAGGGAGTAGAGCATCAGTGCAATGTTGCAAGAACATAAGAAGGGCTAGCTGGATCAGGCCAATGGCCCATGTAGTCCAACATCCTATTTCTCACAGTGGCCAACCAGTTGCCTCTTCTGGGAAGCCAGAAAACAGAACCCCAGCACACGAGCAATTCTCCCTTCCTGGAGTTTCCAGTAAATTGTATTTGGAAGCACTGATGCCTCTGGCTGTGGAGGTGGAACACAACCATTGTGGCTGGTAGCCATGTCTGGAGGAGCTTTTAACTGGGGGCTCAAGATGTGAACCCTCTTCCTCCCCAGGCTCATTTTGAAAGCCTCAAGGGCTCAGCTTCTACAAAATGGTAATAATTAGGAAGAGAACGGACCCGAGAATGTACTGAACTCAAAAATTAAACCATATCAGAGGACACACAAATCAAGATTTATTTTCAGCTGTGCAGTAAAAATTCATGTACTAATGATGAAGTGTTCAAAGGCCTCCTGTGAAATATGCCATAATTTGGATTTCTTAGCTTTATGTAAGAATATCATGCGACCTTGAGGACGATGTCCTGATATTTATAAGTAAAATAAATTGTTTTCAAAATGTTACTACCTCCAACACTAGTCATAATAACATTTTTTCCCAGGGAATGTGAATGAAACAAGCCAAATTTGAGTGTTTATGTTTCACTTTAGTTCTCATTCAGTTCTCTTCTTTCTCTTTGTGGTTGTTTTTTTTGTTCTTGTGTGTTATTGCAGTGCAAGTTCATGTTTAAATCAGTAAAAAAATTTTTTTTTTTAAAGAGAAGAGATGGGAGAGCATGTGCCGAGTGTGGCTCCCTTAATACTAAATAACCAAAGATCTGGAATTGCCTGCTGCTGAGGGTGGCATTCGCCCACAGAATGTAGGAAAAGCCTGGCTGCTGGATCAGGCCAAAGGCCCATCTCGTCTGGCATCCTGATCCCACAGCGGCCAACCAGATGCCCCAATGGGAAGCCCGCAAGCAGGACCCGAGTGCGAGAGCATGGCTCTTCCTATCTGCGATTCCCAGCAACTAGCATTCAGAGCCATCCTGCGTCTGACTCTGGGGGGAAGCACAGCCGCAGCAGCCATTGGCAGCCCCCTCTAGCTGGCCCAGGACACCTCTCACCTCCCCAGTTCTCCATGCTAAAGAGGTTGTTGAAGTTGTGCGCCACGAAGGGTGAGATCTTCTTCAGGTCGTGGGTGCGGACTCGGGTGGCCAGAAGCGACTGGTGAGCATCCCTGAAGGTGGTGTCCATCAGGAGCAAGCCCCGGTGCTGGCGAATGGCCTTGGCAAACCCGGAAGGGCCCTCGCGGAGAAGGACGTCTCGGAAACCGGTGGGTGGCTGACCTGTTATGGAAAGACAGGGAGTGGGGGGATGAACACAGGGGAAAAACTGAATCAGAGGACTTTGGGGAAATAGCTCGACTGGCCACTGTTGGGAAGAGCTTTCCCCAACCCGGTGCCTTTCACTTAGTTTGGATTCCAATTCCCATCAGTCCCAGCAGCATGGCCATCTTGGAATCCCATCAGCCCAGTGGTGGACTCTGGGCTTTCAAATTCAGCGGCTCCTTGCGCAATGCTAAAATTTGGCGCCTCTCACCTTCCTTTGGAAGTCCCACCACTCACTGCAGTTAGGTATTATGGGAAGGGGGGGGGAGCCATATATTGTAGCCAAAAGAAGGTGTCTTTCAAGGCCAATTGCTGCATGGGGGTGGGGGTGGGCATGGTTTTTGTGGAGGTCGCAATTGGAAAGGCATTAATTGAAAAGCCACACCCAATTTGAAGTCAAATGGCAGGGGAGGAAATTAACTCTTCCTTCTCCAGTTGTGATCCCTGAAACTGCTCTTCCCCTTCCTGAGGGGAAAGGCCTTTTCATTGTCTACACCAGGCATACGCAACCTTCGGCCCTCCAGATTTTGGGAATTGTAGTCCAAAACATCTGGAGGGCCGAAGGTTGCCTATGCCTGGTGTAGACTCTATCTCTCTCTCTTTCTGTGTGTGTGTGTGTGTGTGTGTGTGTGACTGAGAGACAGACAGATAGACAGGCAGAGATTTTCCTGGAGATTGCAAAACCTCCCCAGTTCCAGGAAACTCCCTCACTAATTGGGGGGGGGGGGCAGAAGAAGCTAAAACACTACCGCCCCACTTACTTACTTACTTACTTACCACTTTTCCCTCACAGAAACTCAAGGCGGCAAATGTGGTTGCAGTGTGGCTGTGAGGGCCTCTAACGCTTTCCACAAAAGAACGTAAGATGAGACTGCTGGATTAGACCAATGGCATATCTAGTCCAGGGGCCAACCAGATGCCCAAACTGGAAGCCGACAAACAGGACCCGAGTGCAAGAGCAACTCCCCCCCCCCCCCCGTGGCTTCCAGCAACTGGTATTCAGAAGCATTTCTGTCTCTGACTGTCATTGTGGGCATTACTGACCCACCTTACCCTCCTCTGTGAATTTGTCCCATCCTCTTTTAAAGCCATCCAGGCTGGTGGCCCCCACTGCCTCCTGTGGGAAGGAGTTCCACAGTTTAACTACGTACTGCCTGAAAAAAGCCTGCGGTTTTTCAAGTGGTACACGGATCCAAAAATGTAGGTGAGCTGTGCGCTAATAGGTCTAACCTAGCCTTCCCCAACTGGGTGCCTTTCAGAGTTACTTATTTATTACACTGATATACCACCTTCTCCTGCTCCGTGGAGCTCAAGGTGGTGTACATGGTTCTCCTCCTGTTTCAGCCTTGCAAAAACCTGGCAAGGTAGGTTAGGCTGAGAGGCAATGACCGGCCAAAGATCACCCATGGAGCTTCATGTTTGTGTGGGGCTTGAACCCTGGCCTCCCAGGTTCTAGTCTGACACACTAACCACTACACCACACTGCCTCTCGCTGGTGTTGGACCTACCAATGCTGGCTGGGACTGATGGGACATTTGATCTGAAACATCTGAAGGGCACCAGATTGGGGAAGGCTTGCCTATGCAATGCCCCATTAGCTAATGGGCCTGTGGGCTGTGCGTGCGTCCCGCTTACAGAAGCGGCGAGGGCTACCTCTTCCGGGGTCTGCAGCATCTCCTCTAAGACACACACATACACACGCTATGGATTTAACTATTGGCTCGGGGGAAATTTAATAAGATTTAAACAGCCTTATTTCATTCTCTTAATGCTTGGCTTAGGTTGGGGATTAGCCGCTGACAAAGAAAATAAACTGCTGTAATAATGATACAAGGCTGGAATCCAATATAATTAAACTGAACCTCACGTATCAATCATAAAAAAGCAGGGAGGCTTGTAAATCAGGCGGCTATTATATCTGCCTGCCCCCGCTCCCTCCCCGCCACCCTGCGCACTTATGAAGATTTCCACGCCGGCTCGTTAGACCCATCAAATATTTAGCAGGCGTTAACGAGAAACAAGCAGATTCTCTCTTCCTCTCCCACCCGCAGATTTTCACAGGGGGTTGTTTACGTTGCATTTCAGCAAAAGGGGAACCCAGCCTGCATTGCGTGGATTAAGTCAGGTGAAGGAGAAAAAGCCGCCTCTTCTCTAGCCCTGGGCATAGATCTAAGAACATCAGAAAAGCCCTGCTGGATGAGACCCATGACCCATCTAGTCCAGCATCCTGTTCTCACAGTGGCTGACGCACGAACAGGACAAGAGCTTTCTCCTGTGGTTTCCAGCAAATGGAATTTGGACGCATTGCGTCCTCCAGCTGTGGAGGCAGAGCATAGCACTGTGTCTGTGCCTTTGATGGCCTTCTCCTCCTCCGTGAATTTGTGCAATCCTCTTTTTAAAGCCATCCAGGTTGGTGGCCATCGCTGCCTCCTGTGGCAGGGAGTTCCATAGTGAAACTCTGTGCAGACTGAAGAAGCCCTTTCCTTTATCTGTCCTGATTCTCCTAACATGGATGCCCACAAGTTCCACTGCTATGAGAAAAAAACATTTTCCTGTCCACTTTCTCCAGGCTGTGTATAACTTTGTACGCCTTGATCATGTCAGCTCTTCCTTGCCTCCTTCCGAGAATAAGAAGTACCAAATGCTGCAGCCTTCCATAATAGATAATCCTTGTGGTCCCTTCCAACTCTAGGATTCTGTGATGGGGAGTTGTTCCACTCCCTTGATCATTCTGCTTGCTCTTTTCTGATCCTTTCCCAACTCTACAATAACTTTTTTGAGGTGAGGTGACCAGAATTGGACAGAGTACAATATTCTAAACACAGGTGGGCCACAGATCTGTAAAATGATGTTGTGATATGGAGGTGAACTTCAGGTCCCTTCCAACTCTACAATGCTATGATTCTATGACTGGCACTTTAATTTCTGATTTTTGTTTTCATTGTTATTTTCGTCTCCTTTTGATCCCCAGCGTGGAATAAATTAGAGGAATGAGCAGGCAAAGACACACAACACCCGGGAAATAGCCCAAACCACCCCCACTCCCCATCTTTGCCCTGCAAGTTCCCTGCATTGATGGCGATAGCTCCCTCTGCTGATCATGAATGAAATAACCACTCGGTCAATGCCAGCGCTTGAGAGCTGCTCAGTTAAATGTAATGAACTGAGTGAAGCCACAATCCACAGGAGGGAAACCTCTTTCAGCCTGAGGGCGGC